TGGGGCACCAGTTTCTTAGAGTCAACCCACAGTGGAATCCCGGGTTGACAACCACACCTTTTGGCCGACCTGGTAGGTGGGAGCCCTGGTGTGCCAACGATTGGCGGTTTTCATGTAGCGACCCACAGACCGCGGGAGGGTGGTTGTGACTCGGGCTCAGGTGTGGTGACACTGGCGAATGAAGGTCTGGACGGAGGGGCAGGACGTGTCCTTCTCCAGGGAAGGGAACAGTGGAGGCTGGTACCCATAAGCACACTGGAATGGTGAAAGGCCAGTTGAGGAACTGGTCAGGGTGTTGTGGGCGTACTCCACCCATAGAAGCTGCTGTGACCAGGACGAGGGGTGACTGGAGACCATGCAGTGGCCACCTCCATCTCCTTCCTTCCTTCCTCTCAGTTTGCCCATTGGAATGAGGGTGGAATCCGGAGGACAAGCTAGCCGAGGCCCCAATGAGGGTGCAGAATTCTCTCCAGAAGACAGATGAGAACTGGGGTCCTCGATCAGACACCTTGTCGACAGGAAGGCCGTGGACGCGAAAGACGTGCTGGAGAACCAGTTCAGCCGTTTCCTTAGCCGAGGGGAGCTTGGGCAGGAGAATGAAATGAGCCATCTTGCTGAACCAGTCCACAATAGTCAGGATGGTAGTATGGCCCTGAGAAGGTGGTAGACCTGTGACAAAATCTAGAGAGATGTGGGACCAAGGGTGATGGGTCACAGGGAGAGGTTGCTGGAGTCCAGCAGGGGCCTGATGGGAGGGTTTGTGTTGGCTGCAGACCAGGCAAGCCTTGACCAATTCCTGGGTGTCCTGGTCCAGAGAGGCCCACCAGAACCTTCGCTACAGTACCTCCTTGGTCCGTTGGATCCCCAAGTGGCAGGTTAGGTGAGTGCTGTGGGCCTACTGGAGAACCTCAGAGCACAGCGCAGCTGGGACGAAGAGCCGGTTGGGAGGGCAGGTGCTGGTTGGTTCTCCAAGGCTGTTTTAACTCTCTCCTCAACCCCCCAGGTGAGGGCAGCCACCAGGAGATCGGATGGAAGGATGGTATTACAACCTGAAGCTGATTCCTCCTCTTCCTTCAGGAATTGGTGAGACAAGGTGTCAGGCTTAACATTGTGGGACCCTGGGCGATAGGAGAGAGTGAAGTTAAACTGCGTGAGGAACAAGGACCACTGAGCCTGCCTGGAATTTAGCCTCCTGGCCGACCAAATGTGCGCCAGGCTCTTGTGTTCGGTCCAGACCAGGAACGGCTACTTGGCCCCCTCCAACCCGTGGTGCCACTCCTCCAGTGCCAGCTTGACCGCTAGTAGCTCACGGTTCCCAATATCATAGTTCATCTCAGCTGGAGAGAGTCGCCGAGAGAAGAAGGTGCAGGGATGGAGCTTCTGGTCATCAGCTGACGGCTGTGAGAGGATTGCCCCTACCCCACTGCAGAGGCATCCACCTCCACCACAAACTATCTGTCAGGGTCTGGCATGCAAAGGATGGGGGCAGAGGTGAAGCGAGCTTTGAAGGCTGCAGCAGCAGGAGAAGACCAGTTGAAGGGGATCTTGGAGGAGGTAAGGGCAGTGAGTGGGGCTGCCATCATGCTGTATACACGGATGAAGCGTCAGTAGAAATTGGCAAAGCCAAGGAACCTCTGTAGCTGCTTCCTGGAATCAGGGATGGGCCAGGCGGTGACAGCGGAGACCTTGCTGGGATCCATCTGGATTCTCCTCTGGCTGATGATGGACCCCAGGAAGGCGACTGAGGAGGCATGGAACTCACATTTCTCGGCCTTCACGAAGAGGGAGTTCTCCAGAAGTCGTTGGAGGACCGCCTGGACATGGTGGACGTGATCCTCCTTGGTTCTGGAGAAGATGAGAATGTCATCCAGGTAGACAAAGACATGTTTGTTGAGCATGTCCCGGAGCACATTGTTTACGAGGGCCTGGAAGACGGCAGGGGCGTTGGAAAGGCCAAAGGGCATGACTAGATATTCTTAGTGCCCGGTTGGAGTGTTGAAGGACGTCTTCCACTCGTCCCCCTCACGGATGTGGACCAGGTAGTAGACATAGAGGTCTAGTTTGGAAAGATGGTGGCCCCCTCCAGGAGCTCGAAGGCTGATGCGATGAGAGGGAGAGGATACCGGTTCTTCACCGTGATGTCATTCAGGCTCCGATAGTTGATGCAGGGCCTCAAGGTCTTGTCCTTCTTGTCTACGAAGAAAAACCCTGCAGGGGACTAGGACAGGCAGATGATGTTTGCTGCCAAGGAGTCATTGATGTATGCCTCCATGGCCTTTCTTACAGGCGCAGACAGGGAGTACAGACGACCTCGAGGTGGGCTGGTGCCAGGCTGTAGGTCAATGGCGCAGTCATAGGGATGGTGAGGGGGCAGAGAGGTGGCCTTGGCCTTACTGAAGACCTCTCGGTAGTCATGGTACTCTGGCGAAACCCCGGAGAGGTCAGGAGATGGGATGGAACTGGACCGGGGCTGCAGAGCTGAGGCTTGCTTTAGGCAGACTTGATGGCACCCGGGACTCCAACCTAGAATGGACCCCGTCGCCCAGTGTAAGAGAAATGCTCGACTCCAGTAAAACACTGGAAGTTAAGAAAGACTCAGAACTTGTGGAGAAAAGTTACGGCCAGGAGGGACTTCTTTATTTGCATGACATCAGCATACAAACAACGTCGAAACAACAATGAAACAACCCCCGAAACAACCCCGAACACTCACTTTCACAGACCTTATATCCTCTGCGACCGCCCATGAGTGAAAGTGAGTGTATGTTGGTGTGCTTGTGCGTGTGTGTGTTATGGTGTTTGGGGGTCAGACATCCCCTGCTTCCCTGCTTATTCCTGGCAACTGTGGTCGGTGTGCCAAAAGATTAGGAACAGTGGAAAATAGGAACAATGGAATATATTCCATTGCACCTATTCTGGTGAAAACACCCAGTTCCATTTGCGTCATTTGCCGATATCCCTGGGTCATTGCGACCCAGCCGGTTCATCCCCATGCAAACACCAGTCAACCATTTGAACCTCCATTTCCCAACTCGGTCCTTGGCCAACTTTCTAAGCCTTGTGTAACTGACCCTATCTGGATCTCCAGTACAGAGTAATAATACATTTTGCCTCTACACCAGTTGATGTGGGGTTGTGAGCCAGGGGTACCTTAGAATGAGAGGGATGTGAGGTGACTTCAGGATGTGGAAAGTGATGGTCTCATGATGGTGCCCGGAGAGGAGCCTCCGCACGGGTCTAGTCTGGTGGGTGACGGTCCCCAGAAGATGACAGTCCAGGGTACTGGCAGGGGCCGGCAGGGGCAGCGGAACCCTGTCGATGTCAAGCTGCTGTGCCAGTTCGTCGTCAATGAGGGAGACATCTGACCCAGAGTCAATGAATAAAGTCAGGGTGTGTGAAACCCCTGCCAGCAGTAAGCGGGCATAGCAGAGAGGGCACTTCTTGGGCAACAGTTCAGTGGTTGGACTGACCAGTATTTTCCCTGCTAATGGTGAGTCCGGGCTTTTACTGGAGATGAAGTGACCGGCTTGACCACGGTACAGGCAAAGGTTCCCCTGGCGGCGGCGCTGGCGTTCCTCCAGTGAGAGACTGGTTCTGCCGACCTGCATGCGGGCCCTCTGGAGAAGAACGAGGCTGGGCCGGAAAGTGTTGGTCGACCCGTCCTCGTTGTCTCTCGCCACGTCAGACCTGGATACATAGAGCCAGCCATGTCGTCAACTCGATGAGCCCATCCAGTGAAGTGGGGAGATCATAGGAGACCAGCTCATCCTTGATGTAACTCTCCAGACCCAGAAGGTAAGCATCACACTGGGCTTCAATATTCCAACTGCTCTGACGGGCCTGAGTGCGAAAGTCTATGGAGTAGTCGGCCATGGTCTGACCCCCCTCTGGTGTAGACTCAGCAGACCTCCATTGGAATCCGGACACCACAAATACCTTGCGGAGCTCTGCAGCAAAGGTTTGGAAGGAGTACAGTTTGTGAGGAAAGGATTACAGTTCTCAGGATCCCCCACATAGCGCTCCGGGGCCCCCACACATGGCTCAGAGGATGGCCCAGGGGACGCTAGCGGGGGTGTAGCAGAGGAGGACGCTGCAGGAGGGGCTGGAGCTGTCATATGTGAAAGGACAGCAGTGAGCTGCTGAACTTGTGCGGCTAACAAAGCTAGCACCTGCTCCTGGCTAGCAGATGCTTGCTTCTGGGTGGTGACAGCTTGATGTATCCCTGCTGCGGTGGAGGCGAGCAGAGCCTCATGCTGCTGAAGAATGTTCTCCACACTCTCCAGGCATGACTGTGGTGAGGCTGTGTGAACTGGGTCCATGTTGTGGCCAGATTGTACTGAAATGGGTGAGGTTTGAACCCAAATGCAGCACAACAAGCGTTGGACAGTTGGTAACAGTCTTTATTCTTCACGTGGCTCGCAGCAGATGAGGTGGCAGACAATACAAAAGACAAAAAGGCAAAAGACTTGGTCGGGGACGGAAGGCAGAGGTGATTACCAGGTTTCAGAAGAGGCAGGTAAGTCAAAGACAGGCAGGGTCGGCAACAGAGAATCAATTTGGAGGTGAGTGCTGGATAGGCGTAGAACAATCTGGCAAATGACTGAGTGGAGCTGGTGAATATATGCTGGGCTGATTGCAGGTGATGAGGAGCAGCTGTGTTCACAGGTGAGTAGTGTTGGCTTGATGAGAGGGTGTGGCTTGGCAGCCAGATGAAGCAGAGGCGGAGACCATGGAAAAGTTCTGAGAAGTGGCAGGATGGGAGACTGAACTGTGACAGATGTCTGTCCATAGAGGCACAAAAGTCTATGAAAATGTAAAGTTCCTTGTAGGGGCTTTAATAATAATATTACTAATAAATATGATGATAATAATAATATAAGAAAAGTCCAAGCCAGCAAACCAAATTATCTAAACAGAATCTGTTTAAGTGCTATCAAATAAGTAATATATTGGTCTGTCATTAAATTAGTTTAAGGGCTGTATGTGTGTTTAACTTTGTTGTAGCTGGTCGCGTCAAACAAGATTCTGATTCCAGAGCGCTACCTGGATGAGGAGGACACCACTCCTCTGAGTCCTGAGGAACAGAAGGAGAAGCAGAAGAAACTAGAGCGGATCAAGACACTCATTGCCAAATCAAAGTTGGTTTTGACTCACTTGCAGATTAATTAATCATATAGCTATATATATATATATATATATATATATATATATATATATATATATATATATATATATACATACTGTATCAGCATCTCCTCACATTCTTACTGTCAGTTTGCAGAACATGGTTCCTCCTCTGGATGGGCCAGTGGAAGGTGGTGCTCTGGTCAGCTCCCAGCAGCAGTTGCAAGAACAAGAGAAGCGAATCGAGATCTCCTGTGCTCTGGCTGCTGAGGCCTCTCGTCGTAGCCGCATTCTCTCTGGTTAGGACTCTCTCCAAATGACGACCATCAACAGAATTACCCTTTCCCTAATACCTTTTCCATTAATTATTTTATCACACAGCTCAGTGCAAGCCACAGTACTTATTCTCAACAGTGCCTCAAGCACATATGTTAATGATTGACTAAAATCACATCTCAGATTTAGTGCAAATCACATGAATTGTTAAGGATCCAAAATCTGCCAAAGTCTTGTAAATTCAATGTTATCTACCAAGAAACTTTTATTGGCAAAAGCATTCAACATCTGTTTTTCTGAGAGGTCTTTTTTTTTTGTTGAAAAAATGCATTGTTGGGTTTGTGATTTTTTTTTGTATATTCAATTTGCTTTTTAAAGGTCTTTTGTGGGATTGGCCAATAATCTTTTTCCTGTTTATCATAATGCCACCAACTTCATTGTCCAACTGTATTTTTGGGAATAAATAGCAGGTCATACAAAGTGAAATGAGCAGACAACTTCAGTTTGTGGATACAATTATTGATTGGCTTCTTCTCCAAACAAGAAAAGTCCCCTTAAATTAATTTGGTAGGACTTCGGGGACATCGAACAGCAGGCACGTGATGAAAGGTCTCTCGACAAAAGTGACTTGCCCAAAAGCTCATATATATATACAAGCTCATATTTTGTATGTTTAGAAAAGTACAAGAGTAAAAAACCCATTTGGAATAGCTAAAAAACACATTGGTAACTTTTTGACTTGAAGTTGGCTCCAAACACTTTACTTTTCCACACTCTGCAAGGATAGACTACTTTTTTTATATTCAGCACAGATAGATTCACAATAAGGTACTATTGCATGCATATTGCAACAATTAATCTGCAAAACCATAATCCAATTTTAATATCCTTAATTTTAGGAAGGGAAACAATGAAAGATCTATGGAAACTTAATTCAAACATACTTTATGATCCAAAGATAATGGAAAGACTGAAGGGAGACATTCAGGACATACTAAACTTAATTAATACTGGGGATAAATCACCAGTGATCCTGTGTGACACATTGAAGGCAAAAAAAACATAACCACATAAATGAAAAAACAGTGCAAAGTTTGGCAGATCCCCTGGGAAAATTTAAGTAATTACAACTAGGTGACAATAAATTCCAATTTAACAAAGGAATTATAATAATACAGATGGAAATTGACGCTATATATACATTTTAAACTCAGAAGTTACAAAAGTATATTTTTCAAAAACAAAATGCTTTCGTAAGACAAAATAATTTGTCTTACAGGCTTTGCCACATGGGGAAAATACAATTAACAAAACACAAAATCAAAAATTATTAAAAAACTAAATTTACACTCAAACCCATGCCTCCCATGACTCCCAGACTGTCACACAAGTTCCCTAAAGCTACCTAAACTCACAAGCGCTCAAAATTACAATCTAGTACAACATATCTGTCAAAGAATGCCATTTCTAAATTGAAAGCTGGAAAGTCCCCAGATCCAGACAGCTGCAGTGCAGAGTACAAGTCATTAAAGCAGCAATTCTCCACCCCTGTTGCTGAACACATTCAACTTTATCTTATAGAGGGGAGACATTCCACCCTCTTGGAAAGAGGCAATTATCTCAGTAAGGAAGATAAAGATAAACAAGAATATGGCAGCTATCGACCACCATCATCAGCTTTCTCAATGTGGATTATAGATTATTTACGTCAATCCTAGCTCGCAGAGTGGAAAAAATCTTGCCCAATCTCATAAAATTAGACGAGACGTACTTTATCCAACTTTGACAGACTCCAGACTACATTAGAAGGAACTTATATGTACTTGATCAGGTAACTAAAGATAAGGTTAAACCGATGATGGGATTAGATGTGGAAAAGGCCTTTGATACCATTAAATGGGAATTCCTGTATTGTATTGGGAAAAATTAACTTTCAAGATAGATTTGTCAGAATAATTCAGACCCTATATGAATAACTTAGTGATTGAATAAAGATTAATGTGGGCTTTTCAGACTCTTTTGTTTTAGAGAGGGGAACAAGACAGAGCTGTCCTGCCTCCCCTCCCCACTTTATTTATTGAACCTTTATGCAAATTTATAAGACAGTGTGGCATTAATGTGGGAGGAACAGAAAGTAGCATTATTTGCAGATTATGTTTTGGTATATTTAGAGAAGCCTGAAATCATGTGCTGGTTTGATGGCACTTTTGGTTGACTTTGGTAAGCTATTAGGTTATAAGCTCAACATATAAAAACTGCACCATCAAGGGACCTGCAGGATAAATATATACATAAATGGGAAGCAGAAACACTGCAGTACTTGGGTATAATGCTTACAAAAGACCTTTCAAAATTATTACAAGTTAACTAACTACTGTCTTCGAAGATAAATACTGACATGCATAGATGGAATCTTATCCCCTATCCCTGAATTATAAGATAAGCATTGAGAAGATGAACATTATCCTGCAACTATTACACATCTTTTGGACTTTACCAGTATAATGCAATCGTAATCAATTAAGAAATGGGACAAATGGATATCTCAGTTTATTTGGCGAGGGAGGAAACCACAAAACCGCTTTAGTATCCTAAATCTCGAAAAGAAGAAACTACTTTTTTTCCTGCACAGCTAATGCCAATTCTGTATTGGTGCAGTACAGAATAAAAGGCTAAATGGAAATAATCAAAAGGTAGAATGATTACTACTTTTCCTTTACAAGCCACAATTGAGGATAGGGGACAGTCCAATTAGAAGAGATATAATAATTCCTTAAATAAATATCTTGTTACAATACAGATACAGAATTACTTCTTAATAGAGGAGATAAAAGATATGAATCTTGGATAAAAATATGACTTACAACATATCTCATTATCATATAAAAGTTGTTCAGTATTTGCAGGGCAAATAGATTTTTTTGCAAGTCCAAGTCAGGTCTCAAGTCTTTGGTCACGAGTCCAAGTCAAGTCTCAAGTCTTTGTGGGGTGAGACTTAATCAAGTCTCAAGTCTTTGGTCATGAGTCCAAGTCAAGTCTCAAGTCTCTAAAAAATAAAAGTCTCTTGTCGCTTCTGGTTGTAATGAGCCTTCTATCATCTGCTGCTATCCAGTTTGTTAAG